GCTTGTCATGGGGCTGTGGAAATGTCTGAAACTCTGCTTCCTAGTGCTGCTGCATCAAGTTTAGTAGGCACAGCCTTTTCTTCTCAGGAATTTGTTAAGGTAGATGCAGTGACCAGAAAGATTCTGCAGACCTAGGCAAACACATCTGTTGTTGTTTCTGATTTAAGGTGGATGGCCATTTCAGTCCAGGTCATTGTTTATATGTTAACTGAAATAAAACCCTGACATAGCTATTGAGTCGAAGGAGAATTTACTTTGAGCTTTATTTGCTGTAGCAGTCTATACGGACTGAGACAATCATCTCCCATATGAAGTATTCACAATATTTGGTTTGATGATGAGGCCTTCTGATAGATATTTAAGTATTAGATTGGCTTATATTTAATATTTGAGTCATAACAAAAGACCTCTAGTTTATGCATTCAGTGCCATAGGCTGATCTTTTAGTGCTGTCATGTCTGTGCTTATTGAGGAACTTTGATTTCTGACAGCAATTGAATTGGTCATCAAGGAGTGCTCTCAGTAGCATGCCAAGGATTGTGAAAATTATGTAGAGACTGAACAACTAGAGAAGGCAGAAGAAGAAAGGAAATTTCTTTATGAACAATGATTGGAGTGAAAATGGCTCTTAAGCAGGTGGTAGGATGAGTGAGTGAGTCGTGGTTTAATGGTGGTGGGAAGCATGTTTTTAAAGCCAGTCTGACATGCCATGTACTTGACAGCTCTGGATCAGCATGAATCTCTAGTGCTGTCTGCCAAAACACTTTGTTCAGGTTCTAGGTGGATTAGAAATTAGAAATGTTGTCATTTATGCCTCTTAATTTTGTAAAATGATTAAATAATATTGTCTGTTTGGATATGTTATAACTTCCTTGCCATCCGAGCCTTTGCAGCTGTTCACAATAGGATTGAAGGGCTGTAGCATATATCTGGTTATTAATTACGCATTTAAGAGTCTGTCATCTCCTTGACTACAGTATCAGAAGTCTTTTAAACTTGGTGATAGGTGGTTCAGAGTGTCTTCTCTCTTTAGAAAAGAATCTTCATATTGCACTGAAGAATATCTTTCAACAAAAGGACCAGATGTGATATCAATACTGTGTGGCTATTTTTATCCCATATGACACAAATGTCAGTCTGCCCTTTTTTTATCACAAGGCTCAGTTGATTCTGCAGTGGGTTTTTTGTTTGGTTGGGTTTTTTTTTGCTATCACAGTCTTTTCAATCAAAAGAATATATTTACTAATATGGCATTGTATTCCACAATCTCCTGGTCTTGGGCTTTGAAATTGCCAGAGAATTAGAACTGACTTTTTTTTTCCTTAGCTGAAGTTTGTTTGTGCCTGAATAGTTACCAAACATGAACTACAATCAATATTAGTGGCACTTTTTGAACAGCTAAGAGAAGTTTCATATACTATATTTGGATTGACTCAAGAAACCTGCTGATGTTGAAATTTTAAAAGATTAAACTAATCTAATACTTAGCTTTTGCTTTAGCAATTGGATAACTAATGTGCTAATACCAGTCATTCTCCTGTATTTCTAGTGTCAAACCTTCAGGTTCTGTCTACAAATTTATTGCAGTCTGTAATAGTATGAACTTCCAATTTATTGTTGGCACAGAAATCTTCAGCAAACTGAAAATATAGGAAAAAAGTAAAACTAAGTTAATATTAAAATAAAGCAAGGCACACTGGCATGACTGGGAACGTGGAAACCTGTACCTGAACTTATTTGAAGCTCTGCAGTTTCCATTTTGTCACACAAAGCAGCATAATGGTGAACTTCAAACGCAGTTTGCAACAGGGTGGGCAAGGCTGTGCTTACTGGCTTAACATTGAAACTGTAAGTACAGTAGTGTAAATGCTTTCTACAGTTTTCCTTTAAACTAAAAGTGTTTCTACTGTTCCTCATTATTACCCATCACTTCCTTGTTGCAGTCTCCTTTTCCTTGCCGTTAGCTTCTGCATATTGTACACTCTTGCTATCGGGAGCTTCTGAAAAACTCTCACTAGCCTTATCTACTGAGTGCTGTTCCTTGCCTGAGACTCAGCAAACCGGAGGTAGGCCTCATAGCTAAGTTTATCTTCCAGCATGGTGTGCTCTAAACACTAAGAATAGCTTTGATTTAGTGGATATTAAGTGCAAATTTCTGTCATGCAAGCCTAAATATCTTTTGGGCAGGACTTCAGAAAATTAGGGCTTGGTGTCACGATCAGGTCACTGTGGAGTTGCAGGCTAAATTCACATTCAGTGGGCTGTAATAACTGTCCATGAATATGCTTGTAGAGGCAGAAAATCTCATCCTGCAGTGAAAAAATACGTAGTTGCATTTCTTTATATATGTTGAAGATGAAGGGTATACAAATAGTCAGTAACCATGGCTTAACTGTGGAGTTAAATAAGAAGCTAAAAGAGTTTAATGGAGTTAAAGCTCCAGAGGGAGGGGTGGGTTTTTTTGTCCTTTGGGTTTATTGGGTATTTTGGGGTTTTTGTTTTTTAGCGTTCTTTTTGGTGGGAGTCAGTTGGAAAGAGCATTCCCTAGAAGTTGAAATTTCATTAAATTGTTATAATCTTAATCCATATCCTGCAAACAATGTAGAAATCTAAAGCTGAAAGCATCTTTAGATCTGTTCTCTAGAAAGACATCTGAAATTCTTATGTAGCAAATTAACTGCTTTCAAAGAAAAGTAAGGCAGTAAGTTCAGAATTGCATACTTCTGAGTGCATGTTTTTGAAAATGCCACAATTTTGCTTAATATTAGACATTAGCCTTTGGTATTCTGGAATGAAGCTGGCAGAGAGCAAACCTGTTGCAAGACGGAAAGCTGTTTGCCTATGCGTGTACTTAAATGAGAATGGGTAGTGCAAAAAAAGATATCAGAACTAATTAATTCTATGCTTATGTGCACAGTAGATGCTGCATGTTCTTTTCTTTGCTTTTCTGCAACATTTGTAAATTAATGTGAAGGGGCCTTGGTGTTGAAGTAGATACAGAAGCTTAAATCTGGCAAAAAACCCTAACGAAATCTTTCTCCTTCCTTCCCAAAACACAAGGATTTAAGTTTTCAGAAGTAATTTTATGTAACCAACTTGAGACACTTAAAAGGGGCCTGATTTTCAGGAAGTGATGAACCACTCAAAAGTGGTCTTAGTTTGACTTGGTGAAAAATGGGTGCAGCATCCGTATGGGTAAGTTCTAAATCACTTGCTGTTTAATAGAATGTTAAATAGAATTGTAAAAAAAATCAGGGAGTGCTTTTTGCAGTGTTCATCCTAGCTTCCTTCCAAACAGTGGTGAGGTGCTTGGTTTCTGTGGGAGGCAGACTATGCTTTTCAATCTCAGAAATGCTTTTCCAGCTGTTGAGGAGACACATGCTGTTAAAGAATCCACCTCCTATGAAAAACAGTAAGCACAGTCTCAGTACCTGTTGATTGTGGAGAAAAGGAAGATTTAATAGCTGATTTAAAACATAATTGCAGCCTCACTTGTTCTAGATATTATCTTTGTAGGAGAGGTTGCGAAGGTAATGGAGTTACTATGATTCTTTTTTTTAATCTTCAGTATGTCAGGCTGCATTTGATTTTTAAACTATGCTTTAATGGATGATAAACTAGTATCTTCAAGTTCAGTAGCTTTACATTTGCACCTAGCTGGGAATTGTTTGGGCCCATTTTATTTTAATTTTTTTTTTTTTTAGTGGAGTGTGCCCTCTTGCATAGCTGATATTCCAAGCAAAGCATTTCCTGTCATATTCAGTGCATACATGCAAAAGTAGACCATGCAATACTTACTTTTTAATGTGCTAAATATCATGTCCTCTGGAAACAGTTGGATTATTTAGATGGATGTTTAATGAGTGAGTGAAGGACAACACCAAATTGCAGTCCCTATGAAGTGTATGGGACTTATGGATTTACTGGGACCTTTTAAAAATGGTTTAGACCGAGGGAAACAGAGTTGTTAATTCATAAAGGTGCTGATCAGTGCCTTACAGAATGGACGCATGGGTTACTGAGTCACAATATGTGGCCTCTACGGGCTAATTCAATTTATCTTCCTATGTACTTACTTATAGCCTCAGGTCATAAGAACTCTGTGTGCCTTAAACAAACATGATCACTTAATATCTGCATTACTATACCATGCTCCTGGCCACGATACAAGTTTTTTTGTTTGGTTTTAAGTGATCAAGGGGAAAAACGTCCATTAGAACAAATGTGAGAAGTTGCTCTAATTTGAGCATCATCTGGCTCTGGCACTTTATAGTGTACAGAATAAACTTAGTTGTTACCCAGAGTTTGGTGCTGTTCTAGAAATGCTCTTATTCATCTTTTTGTCCTTCAGGCACACCTCATCATTCTCCAAAGGTCAGCAAGCTACTTCTTTTTTTTCTTTCTCTCCACCCACCCCCACCCCCCCTTCATTTTGGAGTGTTTCTATCTCTGCCCAGCTTCTCAAAGCTGAATATTTAAACAAGATGTTGGTGGTTTGGCTTGCTTAATTTTTTTCTTCCTTCCTCCTAAAGAAAACCAGCTGGGAAGCTACAGTCAAGGCTGACAGACCTTTGAAGACTGTAATTAAAATGTCAAAATAAGGAGGGCTTTTTTATGGTTGTTAATTCTCAAGTTGGAACTGTCTTTTCTTCCTCTCTTCTTTACTCTAGTTCTAATAACGTACAGGTTTTTCAGATGGCGCTTCTGATGTTTTAATTGCAACATGATGGTTTGGGAAATGAAAAACAATTATTATACAGTTATTCAAATTATGTGCAGTTTTAATGGTTATTTCTAGTAAAGTTGATATGAACTACTGCTCTGAGAGCCTCAAGAGCGATACAGGTGGGACTGTCGTTATGGGGGAGAACAGGAAACTAACACTTTCATTTCTTGTAGGACTGAGTATACGCTTCTCTCCGTAGGTAAAGCCTTTTAGTTAGGTTCCCATCCTGTACTCCCTTTTGTTGTTATTGATCTTACCTTTTTCCACATTTCAGGTCAGCCAGAACAATATTACCATGATGTCATCCCCATCTCCTGTCCAACAAGCTCAAACACCCCAATCAATGCCTCCGCCACCACAGCCGCAGCCATCTCCTCAGCCAGGCCAGCCAACTTCTCAGCCAAATTCCAATGTCAGGTGAGCTAGACTGCAACTTTTGAGGACCTTTGTCAGTGTTGTAAGGGTGAGGTTTTCAGAAGCATTCAGTATATCTTACTCTGTTTCCACTGAAGTGAATGAATTTTAACATGAACTTCAGTGAGAGCACAGGTGGGATTGTGCCGAATACACTCTGAAAACCCCCATTTTAAATAAAGAAGCTGTGTACGAAATCCTCACCGAGTCTATTGGCAGAGCTAAAGAGTGCCATAGCGATGCTTACTAAAAACTTATCTGCTCACAGGCTTATCATGCTTCCTTGTCAGATTCTGGCAGGTTTGATTTTATGCTTATTTTTCAGCTCTGGCCCAGCTCCATCACCCAGCAGCTTTCTCCCCAGTCCATCTCCACAACCATCCCAGAGCCCAGCAGCTGCACGAACACCTCAGAACTTTAGTGTCCCATCCCCAGGCCCTTTAAACACTCCAGGTAAATGATCTGAGAACTGTACTGCACACCGTGAGTTGGTGTATATTTTGGTAACTGTAATAGTTCCCAGGAAACCTGTTATTGTTTGGCACAATGAAAACTTTAAAGAGGTCTACAAAGCAGCCAGCATTGCAAGTAAGTGAAAGTCACATGCACCACATAACACAATAGCATGGATATCTCAAATCAAAATCAGTTGAAACCTCTCTTCTCATCACTGAACTACGTAATGGATTTTTCTAACTTCCCCAATCTTTTGAAAAAAGAGTGATACTTAATGGAGCAAGTTTATAGAGGCATAATGAATGATTCCTTTTTGTTCCATGCAGGAAGGAACCAGTAGCAACAGCATGCAATTTTAAAGAATGTAACCACTTAATCACAGGTGGCAGGCTGCTTTGCTCCAAAACACCTTCCTAGGTGTACTCTGACACTTGTGCTCTTCTCTCTCCCAGATGTAATAAGCAGTTTCTGATACTGTGAATGGAAGTAACATACTGGCTCCTTCTCATTCCAATGTTGTGTGCTCTGCAGTTTGGAAAGCACCGACTTAAGGAAAACTGCAGCAAATTCAGCGTGTTGATTTAGTGTTTAATGCACCAGTTTGAAGGCAAAATGAGGACCTAGAAAATGGGTATATGAAACTTCGGACCTTTTCAGAAAAAAAATTGTATTAAATGGGAATTGCTGTTCTGTCCACAGAACACGTTACTTCTGCACAAAGATTAGAGGGTTGGACAAGCACTTAAACTGTGGAAGGCATCCAGTTGTGGATTTGGATATTTGACGTGAGCTACACTTTGAGAGTGCCGCATTTCGGGTCTAGATTCTGAAATGTGAGAATGCTGTTCTGCAGTATCTTTTATCATCCCTGTGACATGCAGTCTTGTCGTCTTGCCAGGAAATCCAAATTCTGTCATGAGTCCAGCCAGTTCTAGCCAATCAGAGGAGCAACAGTATCTGGAGAAACTCAAACAGCTATCAAAATACATTGAGCCACTCCGGAGGATGATCAATAAAATAGATAAAAATGAAGGTGAGGTTCCCTATATTTAGTCACGCATTTCTTTCTGTCAACTATCTCTTCTGATGAAAGAAGCAGTACTTTGCCTTTTGTGATGGTTTCTATTCCAGGGATTAAAAATGACAGTGAAAGTTAATTGCTCTTTCTTGCCTATGACTGTAAAGATTTTACTGTGAAGAGTGGGTGAAATCCTCATCCTTAAATTCCTATCAGTTTTCCTTTACTTCTGATGTTTTTGAGACACATAGAGCTTACACAATGGATATACTTATTAGTTGAAAGATCTTTAATCCTCACTACTTTCTTCAGTGTTGGCTCATGTTTTCAATTTTAACAGTATACTGTATTTCTGTCTGCAAGTATGGAATCTATTCTTGTAGTCACTGTTTGTGTCTGATATTATTTCAGATAGGAAGAAAGACCTGAGTAAAATGAAGAGTCTCTTAGATATCCTGACTGACCCTTCAAAACGGTAAATCTTTTTCCTTTTGGCCAGACATCAGGTTCCCCAGCTCTTCCAGAAGTTTGTTGTTTAGCATCCAGCCATGTTGGCATTGAAGCTGTCTGTGGGGCTCAGATAGCAGAAACACTTCAGCCAAGGTGACCATTCTTTGGTGATGAAATCTCTCCTTTTCTGCAGGTGCCCTCTGAAGACACTGCAGAAATGCGAAATTGCTCTGGAGAAGCTGAAAAATGATATGGCTGTGGTATGTAATGCTTTGCACTAGCAAGAGTAAGCAATTAATTCCAAAAGGTCTTATGATGTGGCAAGATAATTTTTTGCATTTCTTGTTGCTCATGCTGTTAAGACTTCAAGTAAGGTTGGACAAAATAAGAAAACAGGGAAAAAATGGGCAAACATTTACTTCATGTAAGTCACCTGTATGTGTCTTTTAACTGAACCTTCAAATTCTTGTGCTTTGTGCAAAGACTTGAGTAATTCTTTCTGTGAACTTTTGCAGCTGATTTCGGGACAGGCTTCCTAAATGAAAGCTGTGGACGGCTTCCCCCCCGCCCCACCTTAATGTTACTGTATACGGTTTCAAGAATCCTTTGCATTTCATGCATTGGAAGTTTACTGCTATAAAATTTTGCAGAATCAATAGTAGAGATTTCTTTTTTGGTGACGTTTAGAACAAAAGGGGCTTCTCTTGTGTTTTAGCCTACTCCACCACCTCCCCCAGTGCCCCCCACCAAACAGCAGTACTTGTGTCAGCCACTTTTGGATGCTGTTTTGGCCAACATTCGTTCACCAGTCTTCAACCATTCCCTTTACCGTACATTTATGCCAGCTATGACTGCAATTCACGGACCACCAATCACGTATGTATCACTGACCTGCTGTCTGTCTTAAATGTTCATTATTTAAGGAAAAAATATTTGTTTGTAGAAACTATTAAAAGAACAGATGGGTTTATGGATGGGTGTGAGTTATATCTTTCCTTTTTACACCTGTAAAATATTTGACAAATTTGGTGTTGGCATAACATTTTCACCTAGTCCTTTTGTGGACTGTATTTTACATAGGGCCCCAGTTGCTTCCCCTCGAAAACGGAAATATGAAGAGGATGAAAGACAGACCATACCAAATGTCTTACAAGGGGAAGTTGCAAGATTAAATCCTAAATTCCTGGTGAACCTGGACCCTTCCCACTGCAGTAATAATGGCACAGTTCATCTCATATGCAAGCTAGGTAAGCAAGAAGAAACTAAAGGCTGAATTCAGAAAGAAGTGCTGAGCTTGACTGTAGAAATTTGAAGAGTGTTTTGCTAACAGTCTTGAATCTTGGCAACCTGTGACTTCTGCACGAAGTCTGTACTTACTAGATTCATAGCACTGCTTAATCATGACATTCTACACAGCCTGCTTCAGGGTACACCTGGAGATTTCATTCACACTGATCCTTTCTTTGCACTGAAGTTGCAACTGGTAATCTCATTTAGTGTCTAGAAAATTACTTGTTGCTAGCAACAATCTTGATTCCTGATTTGACCTATACTGATATGTGAGAATTGTTCTGCCTCCAACAACTAGGACAGAGCTAGAGAAATATTGAGTTAACTTTTGGGAGGGTCTATTTCAATTTGTACTAATGATCGCTGACAATAGTGTATGTTCAAGAAAGAAATTCAGATTGCATCTTTTTTTTCGTCTCAGCTGAATAATCATAAAGTGTTATAGTCTATTAACATGTTTTGCTCTTGGGTTCCAATGGGGAAAATAGATTCTTTCCTCCTCCCCTTCGTTTGAGAAATCTGAACTGTTTTTGTCCTGAATATTAGTACATAAGGCACTTAATTTTCAAAAATGAGGTGTCTAACTTAGTGAAGTTCAGCTGATGAAATGGTGAGATTGGCAAGGTGCAGAAATGTGTAAGAGATGGCGGTATTTTGCCAGGCTTTTCTTCCAAGAATTTAAGAGTGTTGTTGAAGTGAGCAATGAGATTGCCTTCCAATAAAAATGGAGATGTACAGCCTGGTTCCTCCTTGGGGTTCAGAGGCTAGAAACCAAGCTGAATTGTGCACAAAAACCCCTCCGTCCAGCAAGGAATGCTTTGTTCTGATGGGAAGTGTGTTTGCATTCTAGATGACAAGAATCTTCCGAATGTCCCACCACTACAGCTCAGCGTTCCAGCGGACTATCCAGACCAGAGCCCTCTGTGGATAAAAAACCCTAGACAGTATGGTATGAGGAAGCTAGCATGACATTTGTTGGGTCTGTGTATGTGGTAATAGTGGGGAAATGTGAACACCTAATAGTACTCTTTTTAAATTTTTTTAAATTATTATTTATTTTATTTTTATTATAACTCCGTTTATCTGTTATCTTTTTTCCAGCAGCCAATCCCTTTTTGCAGTCAGTGTATCGGTACATGACTTCAAAACTATTGCAACTTCCAGACAAGCATTCAGTCACAGCACTCTTAAACACCTGGGCACAAAGTATTCGTCAGGCCTGCCTCTCTGCTGCGTAACATCTCACTTTCTAAATTGTGAAGCAAGAAAGAAGGTCTCGACAGCTGGCCTCTTCCACATGCCACTGGAAAATCACAGGCATTTTGGGGAGGGTACTTCAGAAGAAAGAAGCCTTATGTTGTTTTGTTTCTAGTTGTCAGGTTCAGTAGTGAACCTGATGTTAGACTTAGCTTTCATGCTTTTTATCTTCTGCCTCTGTGGACTTTTGCCAGCATTTTCAAATATACAAAATATGTATATATGGTTCTTGAGACTGTATTAGGATGAGTTTTTATTGTCTTCTTAGAGAAGAAATTATTTGTGGACTTCCATCAGGGAGTCTGGTATAAGAGGGAGTAGGGAGAGAATGTCCTCATTTGCTTCAAAGTTTGCTCAGTGCCAGTATTCCTTTCACACTGTATGTTTTGTGACCTGATACTGCCCCAGGAATAAATTAGCTGCAACTAGAATGTGCTTGCAAACTTCTCAGTGGTTGCAAGAATCTTTTTGGCTATTTACTTTGCCCAGAGATGGGATAAATTACAGCTTTTTAAGGCATCCCTCCAATATGTGAGATAAATCTGGACAATTATACTTGGGGGTGGGGAACCAAATAGAGCAAAAAAAGTATTTTATAGCTTATTTTAAACACTACTTTATACTGTATAAATGGTTTTTGGTTAGCATGGACCACATGTTTCTCACTCCAGAAGAGTGAGTTGATGAGAAAGAAGAGATACTAACGTGCACACTGACTTCCTCTATAAACTCAGTAAACGTGTACATAAAGGTGTGTGTGGGGAAACCCAACAGGATAAAGCCCTAGTAACACAAATCAATCCAGCAGGCTTGTAGCTACATTTCTTCTTTTACTAAGAGTCTCTCTGAGGCGTCTGGTGTCCTTTGGGAGTTGATGCAGTTCAGTGAAAATGCTTCTATGCTACATCAGTTTGTTTAAAAAGAAAACAAAAAAACCAACATAGCTCAGGAGTAGAACTGACAACTAATATTTTGTGCCTTGAGCTATGATGGGCACTCAAGTCAGTCATCAGCTGCCTTATTGTTGGGCACTTCTAACGAAAACCTTTGCCACGAGTAACTCTAATCTCGTGCATAGTGCGATTATTTTATCTTCCCCATGCTTATAAGTTGCTCACTCTTAATTTCCTGGTGCAGAAGAATTTCAAACTTCAGATGTTCCCATTATATCCTGCTCCATCTCCCTGTATTGTGCGGCAAACCTTAAAGAGTAGCTGGGCTCTCTTACAGTAGTGTCAAGAAATTGCTATGACCTTCGTAAATCTGTGTGGTGTCATCAGTTTTAGGATGTTTTTAAATGTGGGTACTTAGTAAGCACTGACTGAGGCAGCAGAATGCTATCAGTATTTTGTACATGAACTAATGCATTATCTGTTTGTTTCTATTGTAATAAATTTATTATTATTCCTGTGTTGGATGCTAACATTATACTGCTCGTCCCATGTTGATCCTTACAAACCAGTTCTGTTGTGCCCATTGGATGATGGTTATTTTGTTCTATGGTAAGTCAAGACTCTCACGCTTTGAAGGTTAGGGGAGGAAATCATAAATGGCTCTTCATCCCATGCAACACTGTCTTTACTGTCCTCATAGTGAATTGGAAGACCGGGTCAAGAGATTAGTCATGGTATCTACAAACGAAAGATGTAGTTTTTTAACCGGTTCTGTTACATGGCTGACTCTTTCCTTAGGGCAAAAGAACCAGCGGCACCAATACAGTTTGTAATACATAATTAAGTCATAACCCAAGAAATGAGGATAGAAACAGGTGGGGTTTTTAAAGATATTGCCAGGGTCTAACACTGAGACATTTACAGCATTTATTTCTTAACACTTTTGTTAAAACCTATCTAGAAATAAATGCAAAACATGCATGTCCCTCAGGTTTACAATAACTTTCCTAGTGTAGTTTTCAGAGCTGTCACTGCAGTACCTTTCAGTTTTCCTTCAAACAAGATGTAACGATTCCATTCTGGTAAGTGCTACCTTCTGAAGAGACTTGTATCGCCGTATTTCCTCTCTCTGTTTCTCACCTGTATGAGATCTGTGTGGGTTTTTTTGAGAATATCATCTCATATGGACGGCTCCTTAAAGCACCAAATATTTGAGAGGGGCTATAGGAAGCAGTGCAGTTCCTGTCGTCTGAGTCTTCTGTGTAAATATTTGAGAAAGAGTCAGTCAAACTCTAAATAGTGTCTTCACAGCGTGATTCAATCTTTGGAACAACCCGCTTAAAGAAATGGTAGAACATATTCCTTACTCTAATCGCATCTTTAAGAGAACTGCAGATCTTTTGCTAAAACTGGTTGTGCAAGATGAGCACGTCCTTTCTGGCTGAGGAGAGATATAATAAGAGTGAAGGGCCCTAACTAACTGTTCTTGGCCATTTTCTTTTGTTCTGTGTTATTTACTGTCATGTCTGTTTAGGCAGCAATCGCCTATCTTGCAGATTGTTGTATCAATTAGCACTTGGATATGGGCTCTGTCATACTAAAGAATGTACTAAAATAAAAAACTTTCTGATTCTCTGGGAAATGCTTTCCAGTTGAGGGGACTGACCTCCAACTTGAACCTGATCAATCTTTTAGACTTTTATTCTTCAATGCATTGTTTTCTAACTGCAGTAGCCTTAAAAAATTATCTAACAGGACAAGTGATAACTATGTATGTTAATCTTCATCTGAAGAAAAGTGTCTGTTCTTCATTGGTGTCCTGATTTTGGCTATAAAAAAATACGAGGAGCAGTCTTAAAACACAGAGGAATGGTTTGTGTTTAAAACTTGCTCTGTGTGTGCATGTATATAATATACATAAAAAAATGAGCAGTCTTAAAACACAGAGGAATGGTTTGTGTTTAAAACTTGCTCTGTGTGTGCATGTCATGTATATACATAAAATTAAGATATAAAAATCCTTGAAACCTGAAATGGCAGTAATAGTGTTGCTTGCCTATAGAACTTGCACCTCTGACTTCCACTTAACATCCTGCAAACTTACTGGGAGGAAAACTAATTAAAAAATCTTTAAAAAGGAAGATTTTTAGAGTGGACTACCACATAAGCTATTCTAAGTTGGTTCAAGAACATTAGACAGATTTCTAGAGGCATTTCCTTACCTGATTTGGCTGGTTAGTCTCCTGGAACGTTTTTGTTCTTGTGGATGTCTTCCAAACCTTTCAGATGCACTGAGGAAGAGAGAGAACTTACCTTTCTGCTGTTATTCCGGAAAACTTATTATTCACCATAAACAATGTGGGTTTTGTAGGCTCCATGAATTAGTAGCAGTCCAAATTTAGCTCTGTATGTGTTTCTAAATGGTTCACTTTGATGTCAGTATGATTAGTAAAATGCGCGTGATAAAACTAATAGAAATGGTAATAAGGCCACATAACAAAATGGTAACGTGTTGTCTGATGACCTATTTCTGATGTTTCTGCTACCCCAAAGGTAAGTTGTGCCTTTTTTAGCAGTCTTACGTGCTGAACAGTGATTTGAACTGGTCATTGCAGAAGATGAGGTAGAAACTTTATCTGCAGAAAAAAGGGAGAAACGATGACCTGAGTCCTATGACTGCAGAGCTGATTATGGGAGTAGTCTGGGGCGGCAGTTTAAGCAAACAAGTTTGCAAAGCCAAGGCCCTCAAGTATCAAATTCCTCAAATAAAACTTGCAGCAGGACAATTATCTACAGCGTCACAGCAGGACAATGACTAGTAAGTAGGAAATACCTTCTCTTACACTTGCGTGGAACACGGTGAGATGCAACCCTTATGCAGCTCTAAAGCTCGAGGAAGTCAGTGGATTTGTTAGCAAAAACTGGTTATTGCAGGCTTTCGTGATAGTGAATGCTTTGGTTCCTACAGCACAGTTTTGGATGTTTATTTACATTTAGATTATAGCTATTTTCTTACTGAACCTCATTTCACTTTGATTAGTTCTCTCTCCCACATGCACTACCGTGGCATATTTTTAGTGCGTACAGAATGGTTGTTATTTTCCTGACTGAGTTGCCTTTGGAAGCTGATCAGATCAGGATTCCTCTTTGTGACATCTCTTGGTATATTGCCCCAAAGAACATTTGGCGTTAATAAAAAAAGTAGCTCAGAGAATGGAAATTGCAGGAAGGGGTGAGAGTGAACGTGGGGACAGGAACAGACACGCAGCTGTGCCTGCTGTTTGCCAGTTTGCCATACTCTGAGGGCAGAAACAGGCTGGTGGGGAAATGGAGTCCCTTAGTCCCAGGGAAATAAGGATGTTTTGAAATCACAAAATAGACTGAAAACACCTGCTTTTTATTGTTTAGTACCCTAGGTTGTGCCATTTTGTTAATAAGACACTTGACTGAGATCCCCACCCTTGATTAGACATGTTTTGAGGAATGGATTTTTTTCAATTGCTGAATGTGTTCCCTCCAGAAACCTGACATACCTTTTACTGAGGAGCTCTCTTTTTAGTCAAATGTTTGACTCCTGTGTCATCATGGGGAGTAAGTATTGTGACGGTAAGCTGGGGATAGAACATGGAGATGCACATGACTTCATTTAAAAAAAAAAAAAAGTCGACCTTTTACACAGTAGTATCATGGAAGCTGTTAGACAGCGTAGAGACTTGCTTCTAGAGCACAGCACTAAATATTTCTACCACTGTAATGTTAAATAAAATCCACCCCCCAACATTCTCAGCATTGTATTTGGTTTATGTTTCAGAACTTCAGATTCTCATATTAGCCAATAGCAGAGCTTGTAATAAAAAAACCCCAAAAAACAACAACAAAAAACACACACACACACAAAACCCAAACAAAAAACCCACCCATGGGCTGGGAGCTGGTAACCTAGAAGGGGACTCCCTTACTCTCTAGAACTTTGAAAAAAAGTAAGCATGACTTTTGCCTTCAGCGTGTGACCAAAATCTTCCTAATCATAGTTTATGCTGAGTAAAGTGCCCGGCACCATCTCTCTCAGCAGCTTGGTGTGAAGAATAAAATGTCTTGCTAAAAATGCCCTACTGCAGCAGTAGGCAGTACAGAAATACTGCACTCCTCTTTCCTTTTCCCTGTGCTTCCAACCAGTATAGGTAAAGCATATGCAATTTGTGTACAGATCTGGCTTGTTAAAATGCAGCTCAAGCTAGTGCTGAGAATACCGGTGCATTGTATTGCTAGCAACATGCCTCCAGCTTTGCCTCGCCTGCTGTTGCTGTTTGGGTGGTGGTTTAGAAGAAACTGTATTTCTAGATCAAACTAAATGACCCTCAGCTATTCCATTTTTCTGTATAAGCTGACCAGAGTGCTCTTGATTAAAGTACGGCTCTGAGTTACTGAGGTGTAGGTCATCCACGGCCCTGGGGTCAAGATAGATACACTGCAAGAAAAGGTGACAGATTTTCAAGACTTCCTTGCAGCTCAGTCTTCCAGTTGTGAGTATTGATGACAAGGTAATGGGCAACCTGTCACAGCTTTTAATTCATCCTGTCTGCAGCAACAGGAAAACGTGGCGTACCTTTTAGTAGCGATCCTTGATTCATTATGAGTTTAATGAATAATGAGATTAATGAAGATCTGTAATAAAGTGGGAAAATACTTTTAATATTGTCATTTAAGGAAGTACAGAGTGACTGTACAGCAGTCAGTACAGCAGCAGCTGGCTGCTGAGGAGCAGCTCTTGCTGTCCCCCTCCCCAGTACCATCATGTTCCTGTTGTGGTCACTTGCAAGGAGGCAGAGCTCTGCTCGGCTGGCTGCCCACCCCCCGCTGCAATGCCCCTTGGCCTGCCCCAGGGCCTTTACAGCGGCTGTGGGGTTTGGGGGGGGGGGGGGGGGGCTGGGCAGCTCCCTCACCCTGTCCCAGTGGCATCAGCTGGGCGGCCCTGGCCGAGGCAGCAGTGTAGCAGTGCTGGACAGCAACGGAGCTGAGCTGCACCGTGCTTAACTGCTCTTGAGCCAGATGCTGCCATGAATGTGTTAAATGCACACGTGTGGTTGCTTTCGTATTTAATAAATGGTTTCTCTCCTGTATCACTGCTGTGCATGGTCCTTGATGCTTTACAGGAGTATCATGGCTGCAGCACAGCTGCTTGAGATGGGAACCGATGGATTCCTTAAGCATTGATGGAACAAAAAAGGATTTCTTGCCCTTTTCATGTCAGGGGAGAGGACAACAAAGTATTTGTTGAACTCCAAGAGAGGAATGCTCCTGTCTGCTGGCCAAAACTGCCAGGTTAGAGTTATAGTAAGGTTATAGGGGAAACAGCAGTAACTTCTGTTTTTACAAGCAAGTGTTAATACCCGATTGAGCACAGTGGCTCTGGAAGAGGTGCAAACACATGGAGAAGTGGTTTATGGAGGTAGAAGGCATAAACCTGCCTGGGTTGGGGAGGCCTCAGGCAGGGAAGAGGAGGCTTAAGCCCAGCCCTGGGTTATGAGATGCC